ATCACACCATGTCTCATGTCCTCATGCCCATCAACAGAATGGCTCCGCTGAACGGAAGCACAGACACATAGTTGAGGTCGGGCTAGCTCTTCTGGCAGGAGCCTCCATGCCCCTCAAGTTTTGGGATGAGGCTTTTCTTACTGCTGTTCACATCATTAATATGCTTCCTAGTCGAGTCATCCATAATCAAACTCCAGTAGAAAGACTTCTTCACATCAAACCAGACTATAAATCTCTTCGCGTGTTTGGGTGTGCTTGTTGGCCCAATCTTCGCCCATACAACAAAAGAAAACTCATGCTTCGCTCAAAACAATGTGCTTTTCTAGGGTATAGCCCTCAACACAAAGGTGTCAAGTGTTTAGATATTTCCACTGGCCGTGTCTATATATCCCGTGACGTCGTTTTTGACGAAACACAATTTCCTTTCGCCACCCTTCACCCAAATGCCGGTGCTCGCCTCCGAGAAGAAATTCTTCTCTTACCTACTCATCTTACCACCATTGATCAAGGGGGTCCGAATTCTGATGATCATATGTTGACTAATCCTGCTACTAATGGTGTGCATGAGTTTTCTGATGATGTTCCAGGAGATAACAGCGAAAACAGTGAAGAAATCAGTGATCATATGTTGACTAATCCTGCTACTAATGGTGTGCATGAGTTTTCTGATGATGTTCCAGGAGATAACAGCGAAAACAGTGAAGAAATCAGTGAAAAAAACGCGCCGGCAGGTCCATATCGCATGTGTCCGCATATAGGAGGCAAATCCTTCTCGGGATCGGCTCCACAGCAGCAGTTCAGTCGATCTCCCTCGGGATCGGCGTCGGCAGACACGCCAGACGCGCAGGCGACAGCGCCAGCCGACCGTGCGGCTGTCCCCAGTCCAACGCACGCCGCGCGTCACGCTCCAACTGGCGGCGGCCCCAGCTCCTCTCCGCGCCAACCCCCGTCCGACACGCGGCAGCACCCGGTTCGCCAGGAGGGCGCGCGCTTCCGTGACCAACCGGTCACGTACAAGCGGCGCGACCAGGTTCGCCGTCCTGCCACTGGGTCCGGATCTGCTGCGGGACCGGGCGCGGACTCCTGTGCACCCACGAGCGCGTCGAAGACTGGCGTCCGCCCCGAGACTGATCCGCCATCATCCACCAATGATGAGGCCCCGGGATCTTCTGCGCCTACAGAGCATGCTGCACCTGCTCAAACTGCCACAGAAGATCCGGCGGGAGCAGATTCTGCTACAGGAGCTTCAGTTTCGGGATTTTCTATGGCTGAGAATCTTGATGGTGCACCGTCACGACGTACACGACTACAGCATGGGGTAATACATCCTGTTAATTATAAACACATAACCAAATATGGTATGGTTTGTTCTACAGGTGAACCCCAGACGCTCCAGGAAGCACTTGGTGATGAAAAATGGAAAAATGCTATGAATGAAGAATACATGGCACTCAAGAAAAATAAAACTTGGCATTTAGTTCCCCCACAGCAAGGTAAAAATTTAATTGACTGCAAGTGGGTATTCAGAATAAAGAGGAAATCTGATGGAACTATTGATCGCTACAAAGCTAGGCTCGTTGCAAAGGGTTTCAAACAACGGTATGGCATAGATTATGAGGACACATTTAGTCCAGTCGTTAAAGCTGCCACTATCCGTCTTGTTTTGTCTATTGTTGTTTCCAAGGGATGGAATCTCAGGCAACTTGATGTTCAGAACGCGTTTCTTCATGGTGTTCTGGAAGAGGAGGTATATATGAAACAACCTCCTGGGTTTATAAGTAAAAGTGCACCCTCTCATGTCTGCAAGTTGGACAAAGCACTTTATGGTTTGAAACAGGCACCAAGAGCATGGTACTCCCGTCTCTGTCACAAAATGCAAACACTTGGTTTTGTCCCTTCAAAGTCTGACACCTCTCTGTTCATCTACAACAAGTTCAATACATGCATATTTGTCTTGATATATGTTGATGATATTATTGTGACAAGCTCATCTGATGAAGCTATCACAGGGTTGTTAAAAGATTTGAGTGCAAACTTTGCCTTGAAGGATCTTGGAGACTTACATTATTTTCTTGGGATTGAAGTAAAGAGGCACAAGGATGGACTTCATCTCTCCCAAGAAAAATATGCAGTTGACTTGGTAAGAAAAGCCGGTCTACAGGGTTGTAAACCTACACCTACTCCACTGTCCAGTTCAGAAAAGTTATCTCTCACACAAGGAACTCTCTTGAGTCAAGAGGATAGCACAAAATACAGAAGCTTGGTAGGAGCTCTTCAATATCTTACTCTTACTAGACCTGATATTTCTTTTGCTGTCAACAAAGTATGTCAGTTCCTTCATGCACCCACAACTGTTCATTTGACTGCTGCCAAACGGATAGTTAGATATGTCAAAAACACATTAAGCATGGGTCTCAATTTTAGCAAGTCATCCTCTACACTTGTCAGTGCATTCTCTGATTCTGATTGGGCAGGCTGTCTTGATGATAGACGCTCTACTGGTGGCTTTGCTATTTTCTTTGGACCCAACTTAATTTCATGGTGTGCTCGCAAGCAAGCTACAGTCTCCAGATCTAGTACAGAGGCAGAGTATAAAGCATTGGCAAATGCCACAGCTGAAATCATATGGGTTCAGTCCATGCTCAAGGAACTTGGTATAGAAATTAAACAAGCTCCATGTTTGTGGTGTGATAACCTTGGTGCCACCTATCTCTCAGCCAATCCAGTGTTTCATGCCAGGACCAAACACATTGAGATAGATTTTCACTTTGTTAGAGAGAGGGTGGCTCATAAACAACTTGACATTCGTTTTGTGCACTCCAGTGATCAAATTGCAGATGGATTCACAAAGGCATTGCCGGTCAAGAGCTTTGAAAACTTCAAGTATAATCTCAACTTAATGGAGTTGTGATTAAGGGAGGGTGTTAAACATGCAACATGTCACAATAGGTGACCGGCGCATCTCATAGGATATAATTGAGATAGTTAGGTTGTTGGAGTCTTATGTTTATCTCTTGTAACCTCTTATCTCTATCTCCTTTCTTGATCTCCAAGATTGTAATCCAAACCACATGTATGCGCTGTTATGGGAGGTGCGCCCCATCTATATAACACGAAGCCGTCGGCCTGAAAAGGCAAGACGTTCCGCTAGTTCGCACACTACACACGTGACATAATTTGAAAGGTAGCTCTCTAGATCAAAACCTACAAGATAACCCTAACTGTTTTAATAGATTTTGTGAAGTATATGGTAACATCAAACCATCAACATCGCCAAGTACGACATTAATATCGAAGGAAAATAGTCCGGTGGCTTGCAGCAAGAGAAGTAAAGATGGTGATGGAGGACTATGGATATGAATTTGGCTTGACATGGAAGCGGCATGCACGGATAGTAAATTTGAACATATGCTTAATGAGGTTTTTTTTGTACAGTGGGCAAGTCACCTACTGCTTTCCTCAATAAAAAAAAGGAAAAAAGTGTATAATAGAACAGATTCCTGTGACAAGTGAGAACAGATCAGGGCAGGATTGGACTGCCTGAGCTTATGGTTCTTTTGTTTCATGCATCTAATTAAGAGGGGGCAAACGTTTGGTGGCTGTATGACCTCCCATTTTATGAGACAGAGAAACTGGAGGTTGATTGGTCACTTTACTGGAAAGTAAATGCAATTATTTCTACAAGACAGGGCTTTAAGTGGAGTCTCTATCTATTGCTGGCAGGAAGCTTGCTGAGAAGTTGCTCAAGACTTATCTACAGCCATTAGTATATCGTTGAAGACTAAACATGTAAAAACATCAACTCAGGTAGTGAAAGGAGATTTTGCTCTTTTTTTTTTTAGAAAGTTTGCTCTTATATGACCATGTATATCTGCAGTTAAAATGAAGTAAATTAACATACAATTTCTGTTCAAAAAATCTTCCGATTCAGCAATTTATCGTCCGATTTATCGCTACTCCTGGGGTGACCGATAAGATTATGCCTTATCTTCACCGTTTATCGTTTGGGCCGATTTATCGCTCTAGCAAACGATTTATCGAGAATCTACTGATAAATGGAGCCTATTCCTACCACTATTTTTGCAAAAACTATGTTTGCTTTGGTTTTGTCGACCTTGTTATGCAATATGTACTATTGTCCTATTTTGTTTGTCATTATATGAGGATTCAAAGGCTAGGAATCAAGGTAACACTTCTGTCCAATATTTTTTTTGGTGTTGAATATAGCATATTTTAGTGTTGGGAGCCTGGGATTTGCAAAAAAATGGCGATTAATAGTCAGACCGAGAAAATCGATTAAACGGCCGATTTCCGATTAATCTCTATTCCTCAGCTGACCGAGACGCTAACGATAAGTGATATCCTCAACATTCAATAACACAAGAACAATCCTAGGCACGGATAATCCAAGAGAGAAATCTGACTCGTTCAAGAAAAGCGAAAAAGGAATATGCCTCACTGAAGACGAAGGCATGGTATGTATTACCGTATACATGATTAAGAGTCAGAAGGAAGGGATTAGGGTAAACAACAGAAGTTCATCAGCTCCCCCAGTTACTAGCTAGTACTCCCTCTGTCCAGAAATACTTGTCGGAGAAATGGATGTATCTAGACGTTTTGGTTCTACATACATCCATTTTTATCCATTTCTGCGACAAGTAATTCCGGACAGAGGGGGTATATCATACTGGTTGATGGGACACTCTGATTGAGAGGCCAGCGAGAGATGAGAGATGAGAAGAAACACCCCTCAATCTTTCATGAGCTACTCAACGCAACACTGCAGATAGCAAACACCAAAGGCTAGCTGCATATGATTTTTTTCGAAAAGGAAGGTTAAACCTTCCGGCCTTTGCATCCTCAGATGCACATAGCCAAACTGCATATACTCCCTCCGTCCAAAAATAAGTGTCTCAACTTTAGTACAACTTTATACTAAAGTTGAGACACTTATTTTGGGACGGAGGGATTATTTATCTACACGCCAAATGTTTTGGCAATTAGGTCTTGTTCTTCGTGTCCCAGTACTTGTGGAAGTGCAGCAACACGGGGCTCTTGCACCTGGGGCACTTGGGTTGCTTCTCTTCTTCTGAATCCGAGAGCATCATGTACATGAGGCACTGGGGGCATCCAGCGACCACCATCGGCATCTCCACCTCCGCATCCGACGACACGCATGAGCTCGCCGGCGAATCCACGGACACTTCACCGCTCGTTGTCATCTGGCTCATGCTTGGCTTACTAAGTGGTGTCAAGCTAGCTAGAGTGCAGTGCTAGAGGAAGAGGAAGAGAGGAGCCCCTCTGTAGCTGTTCTGTGGTGTGTGAGAAACTGAGAACTGTGGTCGTGCAGTGCACCTCCCACTACCAGAACCTTATATAATGGCTTGGGAAAGGAAGAGCACGTCCTAAAATAAAAATTGCTTATATTTCCTTAAGCAGGCAAGAGATTGGAGGTCAAAATCATTGCAGCTGAGGTGAAGTTTCCTTATGACTGAAAGACTTTCTCCTTCCACGCGTGGGCATTCAAATGAAGGATGGTACACTAGTAGTTCAAGAAAAGTCAGCAGTTGGGGCTTCTTTTACATTTAGCAAAAAGTTTCCAGGAGGATACACAACTCCCTTTCCCATTCCCTTTACTGCTGTAAATACTGGTTATTTGCATTGAGCAATTAATGGAAAGGGGTTCGCCTGGTTAGAACAAAAATAAGGGTTTGCTACATTAAGATTGTTTGGTTGAGACTGTTGTACTGGCATATACCTAACCCTTGAATGAGAGAACAGTTGGAGTTATCAGAAAATATAACAACCACCCCCCCCCCTCCCCCCCAAACACACACACCAAAAAAATAGCTTAACAAACCGACCTACCGAATTTCAGTAATCTGAAAAGATATATGGATAGCAAATTTGTGATTAAACTAAGTAGCTCGGCTGGACAAAAAAATACAAATGTAAGACCCTGGAATCATGAGTATGGTGCCTACTTGATATAGTGTACTCTGGTGAAATCATGAGAGACAAATAGAACAATGATGTTTGCATATCAATAAAAAATTACAAGGTGCCTTGACAGGAATTCCAAACAACATACTCAGAGTAGCCGGTTACGACTTACAAGTAACTCAGACTTCACTTTGAAAACAAGTTATTTATTACCGTATCATTTAATATTATATACAGTGAATGCATCTCTAAGTGGTTGGTCCAAACAGATTGCTGTTTATGTCTGAACCTAACAACTACTGTGTGGCGTCACAGCAGGGGAGCTATGGGCACAACTGTTGCACTGATCTATGTTAAACACTATGTTCTCATGCATTTGGTTGGTTGGACTTAAGGTTTGGTGTGGAGCACATGTCATATAATTAAGTTAAAGTTAAGTAGGGATGTAAACCGGTCCAGTTTAAACCCACTTATCAGTCTAACAGTTTAATAAATTTTTCTCAGGGAAAATGAACTATCGAGCTAACTAAAGCTAACTAAATGGGCCTTGCGGCGCCATTTACATCCCTAAAGGTATGTAGGCTAGATTATACAATTAATCCGCAAGAAAATAATTATACAATCAACCAAAAGTATCAGAAGCAGCTAGCGGCCTGAAACGAAATGCAAATGCTTCAGGATGAAAGATATTGAAATATGAAGTCAAAAAGGGTATCTTAGATGATTTAGTTTCAATCCCTTTCTTCACCCTTGTATGTTTTTCTGTCTTACACTCTACGATTTAAATCAGTTATAACCTGCATACTAAATAATGTCAGGATAATTGTAACTGTATATGAAGGGGAGCCTTGGCGCAGTGGTAAAGCTGCTGCCTTGTGACCATGAGGTCATGGGTTCAAGTCCTGGAAACAGCCTCTTACAGAAATGTAGGGAAAGGCTGCGTACTATAGACCCAAAGTGGTCGGACCCTTCCCTAGACCCTGCGCAAGCGGGAGCTACATGCACCAGGTTGCCCTTTTATACTTGTAACTGTATATACCTTGTCATTCTAAGTTAACTGTTTGGCTGTGGCGCAGTTCCATTGTTAAAACAGCTGCAGAAGGCCATCGATAATGTTTAGCATGAGAACAAATAAAGCTTATAGTACTGGCTCACTTTGATTTGTGGAGAAATACTTGTCATTCATTCTTGGTAACTGCATCTGCATGGCAGCATAACATATTAACATATGAGAGTAATAATGTGAGAGTATTGTATTTGTTGAGCCAACCAGAAACATCTTGTCAAGCATACGGTAGCTTCTCCAGCCAACGAAAAGCAAATGCAGGAAAAAAGTATGTTATCCTAGTCACAGAGTTTAGGAGCCTAAATAGTGTGGACCCTGAAAAAAATACTACTCTCTCCGTCCCAAAATAAGTGTCGTGGCTTTAGATGCTTTCCAAATAACAGTATTGCAAGCCAGCTTCTGAAAAATAAACATGGCTACTTGATTCTAGCAGGTCTGAAATGTCAAAGAGCTCTTCTCCTATCTCCAGCAAATTTAAACCTTTTCCGACAACCCTGAGTGACAATTTTGAAGTTGTGTCTGTGTGTTTGAGAGAAACCCCAAAATATAGATAAGAATGTTTCTGATAGCGCATCGCGTATGATCAGAGAGACAGAGACACTAATATTTACATGATATAAGTGGTAACTGCATGACCAGCATCTGATGCCATTGATTTTTCTCCTTGTATTTTTACACTTACAATCACTGAATTACTGCTAACAAATTTAAAAGCATCCAGAGCATGGCTAAACAAAGGAGAATTATCTCCTCCAGTACAGAAGTGAGGACAAACATGGATTGCATGCATGTGTTAGCAGTATTTGGCAGTAATCCCTTGTGTATTCAGTAATGAAATGGGCACTATTTGTTTTCTACTGTATTTCTTGTCATTATGTAAGTAGATCTTGTAGTTTTTTTTTCTATTTTCCTACACTAATGAGATTGGCAGAGCCCCCCCTTTCCCGTCAAAGAAAAAATTAATCCCTTGTGGCCTTCACCACACACCACTCATGTAGAGGGCAAACGTGAACGGATTAGCAATTGAGAGTCCAAACCGTGAGAGCCAGCCAGGGAGCAGACACTTTGCGGAATGAGGGCGCCGTCGAACATGGGGATGGTCACCATCTCCGCCTCGGCCCGGCACTCCATGCATCGCCGCATCTCAAGGCGGGCATCTTCTCCCTTCTCCCCCCGCGCCCACGACCGCGCGTCGTATCCTCCAGAGACCCCGGCCAATCGGCGCTGCGGCCGGCGGGGCTGGTCGCCGCGGGGTCGTGGTAGGAGGATTTGAGTTTGGGTTTCGGAGGGAAGGAGAGAGGGAGACTGGGGATTGTCTGGGTTCAGCCATTCGAATCTTTACGGTCGGTCCCTGGCAAAATACGTCTGCAAAACTTACTTTGCGATCGATCGGATCGTATAGATATCCATTCAACACTCAACACCACATAGGTCATCAAAATTATCTCGGACAACTCACCAAAGCATGAATGCCGGTTACAAAATGAATAGCAACTTCCTCTCTGGCGTGTAAGTTTTTTACGAAACCCTGATACCCACGTGCCGATTAGGTTTCGTGGACCTGATGGCGCCTGCAGATCAGATCACCGGAGTACCACCAACCGGAGATGGCGACACCCTCCGACAGCGGCGACGGGGCGGCGACAGGAACCTTGTCGCCCAAGTCAGCTAGGGCGCGCCTAGAGGAACAGCTTGGGAAACTTGACATCTCAGAGGAAGAGGCGACACCGTTGGTTCTAGATGATCGCGTTGATGGAGCGCCAGAGAAGTGGATGATGGCAGGGAAGATTCTACACCGCAATATACTCCACATCCATACTATCTCCAACACCCTCCGCCCCGCATGGGATAACCCGAAGGGTCTGGTCTTCCGCATAGTAGGGGAGAACATGTTCGTTGCCGAGTTCCCGACGCAGCGAGATCAAGATCGTGTATGGGATGGATCCCCATGGCACATCAGCAAAAACGCAATCGTACTGTCAGAATTCGACGAGTGCATGTGCCCATCATAACTCAAATTCGACAAACTAAAGGTTTGGGCTCGAGTTGTTAATCTCGCGTTCAATCTACAAGATGAATTATGGTACAAGGCAATTACAAGACAGATTGACAAGGAGGCCACATCGATCCACTTCGATCATGGGGCAGGCTACCTGCACGCCCGTGTCACTTTGGAGGTAGCCAAACCGCTGAGGAGGTGGATTTTGATCGATTCTGCAATGAGGGGAACAATCGATCCATATGATATCCAGTACGGAAATATTCCCCACTTTTGCTTCTCTTGGGGTCGCTTAGGCCACTCGGATTTATTTTGTCTGACGCTCGATACTAGAGATGAGAATGGGGACTTGCCTTTTGGCAAAGGCCTACGGCCACCGGATGAGAAGAAGAGAGTTGCATCCTCTGAGAGTTCTTCAAAACCCCAGTGGTCAAGGTCCAGCAAGAACGAAACCATGAACTCCACTACTGTAGCAGATGGAGGTGCGGAAGTGACCTCCCCCATGAAGCGCACTACAGCTCCAAAATGCAGGGGGTCCCCCGACTAAGGTATATCGTATTGAGCTTCCCCTCTTGACAAACCATGTTGCAAATGATAATGATGGGAAGGAGCATCCAGATGTGATCGTGTCCAAGGATGGAGATGGCAATGAGGACGATGGTACGGTGAGAGAATCAAAGAAGAAGAAAACTACGCCTAACAATTCTGAATCTTCGGCAAAGGCTGCTAGTCAGCCCTGCCCGTCCCAATGATTTGTAGCTAGAACTGCCGGGGGCTTGGGAACCCCGAGGCAGTTCGCGACCTTCGCGGTGTTGTGAAGCAAGAAGGGACTGCTCTGGTTTTTGTTATGGAGACAAAGATCAGAGGGAAATGTGTCAAGAGGTTGAAGCAGACCTTGGGGTTTGCTGGTTGCTTTGCTCAAAGACTACAGTTTGGCTCACATAGATGTTATGGTGCGCGATGTACTGGATAATTTGACGAGTTGGAGATTCACCGGATTCTATGGAGTGCTAAGAGCTGAAAACAGACACCACAGTTGGCGATTTCTTCATACCCTACATGCTTTGCCTCATTTAGAGAGGCTATGTATGGGTGATTTAATGAAACCCTTTATGGGGAAGAGCATTTTAGTCATGCAGCATGACCAAAATGGCAAATGAGAGCCTTCCGTGATGTCACTGATGATTGTGCTCTCCAATATTTAGGTTGGTCTAGAGTACCTT